AAACAATAATGGAGTATAAAGCTGCATGCTTAGGATTATTAGTTGAAAATGGGTTAAATCTTAAAGATGTCGTTAAAGAAATGAGTAATAAAGATAAAAAAGAACAAGGAATTGGTTTTGATACATTAGTTGGGAATAAATTGATCGAATGCTTGGTTTTGATGGAAAGAATTTTGAATCAAGCGATAGAGTTTGATATTGAAAAAGGGAATGTACCAAATATAAATATTATTTCTGGTGGGTGGAAATTTTTAATACAAATGTACTAATTCCTAAAGACGCTAATTAAAAAACAATGAGCAGATAACACGAAAAATCCACCCAGAATACCATCTAAATTAGCTTTCTATACTCATCTTCGTTCCATGATTACTAAACATCTCCCGCAGTATGATGAACATTCAACTCGAATTATTTCGTATTATGGTCGCCCATCAGTTATTACTCGTTGGTGGATGCCTACTATTCTATTATCTGTTGTAACCTTCAAAGTTAGGAAACAGATACATTGGGTTGGTTAAAATTGTATCAGGTCTGTTTTTTTTGCAATATAAACCGATTCTTGATAATAAACCTCTCTCGTTGGATGGTTTTCGTAATCAGGAAGATTTCCTGAATTGGATTGAAGACATTAAGGAGACCACTGTCAATCTTTGGAATGATTGGGTATGGGAACCTGTAAAAGGAATGTGGGATACGATTAGACACAAAGAAAAAAGACTAGCACTTATGGGTAAAGAAAGTCTTAATTCGGATTTAGAGGTGACTATTGTACCATATTTTTTGGGGGAATTGAGAATTTGGTGACATAACTTATAATTTTTCATTATATAACTGTCATGTATAAAGTCTCTGGAACGAATGGTTCTTGATTTCGCTCGTGACCAAAAGCAATTTACTGCCGAAGAAATCAATGAAATTTCTAAACGTATCCAAGATGGTGACTTGTCACTTGTGTTGAAAGCTTATGAACAAGAATTAAAGGTAATTTACGATGATAACTATAGTTTAAACTGTCTGCATTTTTTTTTTATAGCGTTTCTAATGCACCATTTATAGAATCCAGTTAAGTCCACTTTAACAGGCAAGTATTTAGAATAATATTCTATTCTATATTTTATTTATTCTGATATATCAAACATAACGAAATGAATAGCCAATATATTGATTATTATTCTCCAAAAATTAGGCAACCTCATACGTACGTTGCTTATTCAGGTTCAAAAGACCAAAGTGGATTTAGAACTTTCTATGACAGCATTAGA